ATCGCTCAAGCAACTTGTAAATGTATGGTCTTGAAACACCTTTTAAACAACTTCTCACAGAATGCAGCAATATCCTAATTTATTTCCCTTCTCCATCTTCTCTGTACTATCTATGTATAGTAAACAATTTATAAGAGACATTTTTTGGCTTTAATATTTGAAGTTTGGCGTCAGAAAATGATTTTTAGTAAGTGGATGAACTCAAGAATCCCATCCTGCTGAATGAGCCTGTATCCAGCAGTCATTAGCTGGGACATACACAAACAGGAATATCAACCGGTGGTTTTGTCATGTGATCTCTTCCACTGCACATACAAATATAGAACATGACCATAAAAAGTAACAGAACATGCTCTCTGCAAAGTAATTTATTGCAGTTGATGCTGGATTGGCATGCCAGCTGGAATTACCTTCTCAGCTCCTACTATTTTCACATATACAGATAATACAAGGCTGTGCACTGCAACAGATTCCAAATGAAAAAATATCAACATTATTAACAAGAGGCAAAGCTCTGCCAAAGCAACTTCAGCAAACTTAACTGTTTGAAAATGTCTCCTAGTGACTCATAGCAGGAGTTAAAGACCTAAATGAATACTAGGGCTTCAACGTTTTCATAGAGGGGAAAAAATACTGCTTTTGTACAAGATACATGTCTCTCTTTGCTGAGCACAAAAAAAAATCTAAGGATTATTATACATGTAGGAGCTTTCTTTTTGTTTGAATTCCTTATTCATTAGCTTGTAAGCTGCAAGAGCTGAGCTAATTTATTTTCCCAGGGCATTTTCCCTCCCTCTTCTTTTTTTTAAAGGCACCATGTATGACATCCCAACATGACAGGAACTCAGTAAATCCCCTCAGTCTCCACACCGCTGTCTCTGAATGTCTACAAAGCTACTATGCCATAATCGCAGCTCGCTGGCTCATTCACAGCTTTACATTATAAAGCAAACAGTCTAGACAGCTGAATGACAGAATTACTCTCTTTTCTCTTGCATTTATAGATATGCTGTCATCTTCATTTGCTTTTCTCTACTCTCTGCATTCTGGTACACTAATGATTAGCTTTCCTGTTTGGATTCCACACTGACTCCATGGCTCTAGGCTATAAATACAACCAGAACCTAGATGACATCACATCAACAAGGTCCTGGGGGTGAGGGGAAGGACCCCTGCTTCTTTCCTTCTTCTGTGTTAGCTGATGATAACCAGCTTTTTCAAAATGGGTAACCAATATGGCTTTACAGTAGGGCTTTTTTTTCCCCACTACTATGGAGATATAAAAAGCCTAGTGTCTGGAACTATCACTTTCTGCAGTTGAAAATACTGCTCAAGTTGCACAAAGCAGGCAGCTTTCAATTATTTTTAAGTCTATCTATAGTATAGCTGAATGTACCTGTGCAGAAAATACATGGAAAGAAGAGAACAGGAATGAATAACAACATATGTTTGCCTATAAAAAATGTGTACCTAGCAGTCTTTATTTTAACAAAACTTAAGTAACTGGACTGTGCTTGTCCTTAGTGAGAAAGAAACTTTACTTTTTAGTATTCCTGGTATTTTAACTATGGAATGATGTGTACACATGTGTCATGTGGCATTTCCTCAGTCCTAAAAGACAGTTAAAGGATAAAAGTATACTTTCTTGCCTTTAACAAGTTGCAGAAATCTGTGCAAGCCTGATAACATGCAACTAAGATGTATGGATACACATGGCCAAGGTTTTTATTATGTATTGCTTTTTTTAATGCTTCCATAACTGTCATTCTGGATTCCTGGAGAAACTCTTTCTACATATTTTTGTTTGTTTTGTTGCATTTTTAAATTAAAGTTTATGAACTTGACAGTTTAAAAGATCTCAAAGCCTAGACTTGAAGTCAGAAAATGTAAGGGTGAAAGTGGGGAGAAGCCATTGCCATTCTCACTTGAAAAGCAGAGAAAATCATACTGATAGCACATCAGCACAGGAGGTCAAGCCGAGTCATAATTTCTACTCTTACCAGAGCTCAGACAATACGAATACTTCATAACTTCACATTACATTGTGGGTCATTAGAATCTGTTCATTGGGGAATATTTTACCTATGAGCATGAAGAGTTTCATGGGCCACTGGGTGCAATTGTATTTGCAGACAATATAAATGACTGCCTGAGGCTTGTACCAATGGGAATTTTGCCTGTTCTCCATGCGTCGTGACCCACTTTTACTCTCTGAGATCAGGGACAGCTGGAAGAACAACTGATCCCTTCTTGCTTGGAGCTCTATAAATCTGAAGTCTTGCCTGGAATATCTGTGGCTTGCTTTTTTTTTTTTTTCCTTGAGTATCTTTGCCATTCAAACATACTGATTAGAAAATCTTTTAATTTGTGTCTCTAAGAACAATAGTTACAGCAAAACTAAAGTAATTTATATCAGTTGCTGAGAGTTCTGATTTGAAAATACAGTTTCATGCACTATGGAGTGGGGAGCTAGTGGAAAAAGACACAACTGAAGGCCATATAGCATCCCGGGGGGGGGGGCTAGCAAAAAGCTGTTCTATTGCATGGCATTTCTAGCTTCCAGAGAAACACTGCAAGTGAAGTCTTCACTCTCTTCACGCTCCAGAAAGGAAGGTTCAAGGATGGTCCCACAGAAGGGCTACATAATCACTATTCACAGGAATGATACAGTGCTACTGGTCAAAACCTTGTGCCCTCTAGAAACTATAAATGCGATTTCGTAACAGCTCCACAGCTTTCCTGAGTTTTCTAGGGGAGGATTTAAATAGCTGACACTAAAATAAGTATATAAATCAACTTGATATAAATTGTTTTTTCATTTTCTTGGCAATATGCTTTGCCTTCCTACCAGAATTGGCCTAACCTGGACCTCAGCTTGGAGAATACTGAGTCTGTGGGCCAGTATTGATTTTCCTCTCACTAGCTTATCCCCTGACTTCAAAGTCTGTCATACAGCATCCGGGGGGGAGGCGGGGCGTGCGGTGCTAGCATAAAGCTGTTCTATTCCATGGCATTTCCAGCTTCCAGGGAAACACTGATCCCACTTACAGCTGTGAAGTGGAAACCTCCTATGGTTTCTTCAATGATCTTATGTGTATTGGTACAGAAAAGATTCTTAACTCTGCACCATGCCTTTCTCATTATTACAGCACCATGGTAATAAAACTGAAAGCAAGCCTCTAAGTGCACCCCATAAATAAAGTAACAAATAAAAGCAAGTGCAGGAACTGATAACATATAGGAGCACAGCCTTTTTAATACATTGCCTCTTGCAACTCTAGGTCACTTTTCTTACCTCTTGAGGCTCTTGACATTGGGATGCTAACACCAGGAAAGATCTCTGCGCTTGGAAAGCTGCACGTACCATCTCTGCCTGTAACAAAAGGAGGAATATAAATTAAAGCTTAGCCTGTAACCTCCAATACCTCTTCTTGGCAGCTCAAAGTCAAGTGTGACAGCTCAAATCTTTCTTGCCGCTTCTCATCTAAATCACAGCAACACTGACTGGAAAAAATGTACTACAGAACTAGCTTAGCTATAAATTTTTTTTTGAAATCTAAGGTTAAGTTCCCTATCTTCTTCAGAGAGGAAATCAAACTAGTTGATATGCAGTCTTTTGGTTATCATTTATAAGATCAGTCACAGAACTTAATTTTAACACAACAGAAAATGTCTCAGGATTTTAATGGTGGTGTTTAGGCCTGAGCGCATGAAAACAATTTATTAGTGTCAAGAACAGCAACCTGCAAACTATCTGTTGAACTGTAACTTAGGCTGTGGATATATTTGCTGAGGCACTATGCTGTAGTTCATTCCTTGCCTGTCCTCTGTCAGCACACCCTAAGACTAATGGCTATGAAAGATGGTAGGTGAAGGTTTTTGTACAATTTTCTCCCACAGAACTCTATAATTCGGGTTAAAGCTGCATGTGACAGCATGTTTATATGCTAACAGTGCGGAGGGGAGGTAAATCTCTACACTTACAGGTGCTCCCTACTGTTCAAATCTGTGGCCTTTTGGGGTTATTCTGAACACTTCACATCTTCTGTACATGAAGCACGTTGGTTAGAATATAATTGCTGTTTCAGTATCACCTATACCTCATTCAGGTGGATGAGTAGTGACTAGGAGAAAGCATTACTGGAATGGAAAAGTACTATTCATAGCTGGTGCATACTGCTAAATAAAACCCAACCCAAACCAAATGCTCTTAAATTAATCTAATACGAATGGGTGCATTTATAATAATTTTGTGAAAGGCTGGAGAAGCTCATGATGTTTCTCCTTGGGGTTTCTTCAATCTAAAAAGAAAACAAGGAAATTTTATATACAGGCCTATGTGGATGCAACTAACAATACATAAAAGTCAGCGAATTTGAAGTTGTAGCAAAGTAAAACAGCCAAATTATATTTATTAATCTTAAAATGTGATGGCATGAATAAAAGATAACCTGTTTGTTAGGATGAAAATCACTGCAAGGAAGATGTTAAAAGAGGCCCAACTTGGACAGTGTCTGGGGAGAAGACGATATTATGGTCTGACAGGCTGAGATTTGGAAGAGGGTAATCATCTCTATAAAGGAAGAAATAAATAATAAGGGAAAAAGTGTATGACCATAGGAAACTTAAATCTTCCAGACACAGACATAAGTAACAGCAAGGTTTAGATGTTCTTCAGCATCTCAGAAGATAGACTTTTTGGTACAGAAATTCATAGAACAACAAAGTTTTAAGCTTAGTGTTTTTGGAAATAATCTATGCCTGCTGGGCAGGAGGGAGGAATTGTAGGAAAGGGCTGGAATCGCCTAATGAATAAAGAACTAAAGCAAGATACTAAGAATAATTATGAAACCCACAAAGAATGAAAAGAGGCCTTGATTAGCAAGAACTTTTTTTTCAGGCATTATAAAATCCAGAAGCAAAGGAATGACGGGTAGAGGCCTTGCCGACGTGTACCTTGCATAGAAAAGTAAAACAAAGCTTTTTTTTTTTTTTTTTAGCTACCGGAACAATAAAGAAATAAATGGATGAAGTGAGACCATGGTAGTGACCTGAAGGGTAAGCTGGGCATGCCTGCATTCTTCTTGACGTATAACTTACCTGTTGTTGGACAAATGCTTTTCCCCAATTTCAAGGAATTTGATGTACATAAAGATATTGAAAGAATGGCTAAAGAGAATGATGAGAAATCAATGGGAATTACATCTTTTTAAATGGAAGTCAAATATATGTAGCTTAGAGTAACAAAATAATTGGGTCCATAGTATTTTCGTTCCACAGTACTGTAGATGCTGGCAGATGGAAGCACAAGTAGAAGAGATTTTAAATGTGTATCATTTGGAGATAGTAGCAGATGACAGAAGTATGCAATGATGGATTGAGCAAATATGCCCAAGAAAAGGTAGAAAAAGTACATTGAGATTTTATGACTGGTAGTCTGACTTCAGCACATTTAGAATGGATTTGAAATGAGTGATTAAAAGCACACAGGAAAATTAAAAATGGGAGAGATTACAATGGGACTACCTGTGGTTAAAATCATTACTTTTGGGGATTGTTTAGAGTTTTCAGTTTCTTAGACAAGGATAATGTGTCAAAAGTGTGGCTTTTACATTTTCTTATTATCCTATATCTATAGGATGTTGGAAACATTCAGTGCTCAGTGGATTAGATATTGGTTGCAACACTTGTGCTGTATGCCCAGAATTTATTTAGCCCAAAAAGCTTTTAGTGTGTAGAGATAAGAGAACTTGCACCTCTCACCTTTGAATTTAAATCTTAAGCAAAGGATCATGCTAGAAAGTTTTTGCAATTTACAAGCAGAAATTTGTTACAGACTTCTGTCACAGTTTTTTCCTTTTTTCCCTAAAAGCATTAAAAATGGCTAATTTTACTGTTTCTGAGCATTAAAGACTTCTTTCCATGCATCCCAGTAAAGTAATAGAAGAGCTTCCTCTCATTAAGAATGCATTAGTTCAGTCTATTACCATCCCAATTCGCTCTTGTAGTCTTTGAAATGTGACACTTCATTGCTACCTCCTTCTATTTAGCAGGCAGCCTGTGTGACTAAGCAGACAGCACTATCTTTTATAGGCAGATGACTCTTTCATTAGACCGTCACATCCAGTGGAAGACTAATGAGTGAAAATGGACCAGGGGGATTTTTCTCAACAGCTGGTGGCTCAGGCAAAAGACTGCCACAGAATAAATCAGCTGAAACTCTTTCAGTTATAATGAATGATAGTAATGAAGCACAAGTGTCAAAAATGTATGATCATCATGATTAAATTTACTGGAGTAGACTAGACCACAAACTTGCACACAACTATCTGCAGATAGAAATGGACATATTTTGAAGTAACAGTAATTTTCAATTTGGGTCATCCTTTTGGCATTCTTGGGACTATCTATGGACATAGCAATCACCAGACAGCTAAGGTGAATATTTGAAAGAAGCAAGTTCCTCAAATAATTTCCTACTTTGCTTTTAGCAGTTTGTTTCAGGGGCTGGAGGAGTCGGCTGTGGTTGTAGACCTGAATGCCAGGACTGTATGGCATTCCATTCACCATCTCAGTTTCCTCATCAGTAAAGTGTGGAATAAGGTGTCTCAAACCTTTACCTCAGATGTGTTTGAGAGCTGAGTTAGGTGATTGATGTGGTTGGAAGCGCTGAAGTCTGACATGTACGCAATGTCAGTCGAATTCCATGCCTGTTGAAACCTGTGGCTGACCTACAGTGAGTGACCTCTCTGTTGCCCTCGCAGTAACAACAAAGACAGGCCTCTTTACAGTTAAGCCTACAGAAGTTAATGGAGGACTCATACATATTTAGAATCATCTTTTTAATAGCAAGTGGTTTAACTTTCTCTGTCACAATACAATGCCAACTACTAATATTTTCCAGAAGCCACTGCTTGAAAAATTGCTATGAGCCCTATGAGAGATGTCTAATGGTGATCATGCTTCTGACCTGTTTGAAGTAGTGAGTGCAGATTCCACCCAAACTTGCACTGCTTTAGGCTGAGTAGACATAGATGCAATGAAACTGAAGCTTAAAGTTTGTTTTGGCAAAGTTCAGTTCTCCAGAGCAGATGTGATTTTAAGATCTGTCTCCTTCTCATTTTAAATGTTTTATTCAGTCTAAGTTACCCATCGCACTGGTATCCAAGCGCTAATAAATACAAATGTTATTTATGTGACAACAGTTTGGCAAACTACAAGAAGAAACAGTCACATGCATTCAGATCTCAAGTTACAAGTAAATTCAGTCTTTGGGAAAAAAAAGAAAAAAGAACTGAATACAAAAGAAACAAATAAAGGATTTCCTCATGAAATTTAGCCAAGAAAATGACCATATTGACCTGAAAATACTAAATTTGTCAAATGTTCCTAAATAACATCGTTCCTCAGAGTCATACCACTGAAAAGCATAATGTAAATATTAGAATCCACTGAATTCTGTTGTTGAAGAATAATACACATCTTCACATATATACTAACATTATATATATGTAATGCTAACATTAACAGTGATAATTTGCAGATCAAAATACAGATCTATATACATTTTGGATTTCTAAAATAAACATAATAATTTTATTTCGAAACCAAACAGTGAAGAGGACATGAGGGAAAAGAATTGGGATTAAGTAGTCCAGAGTTCTAATCAGAGTTTCTGCAGAAATGATTTTGGATCCTTTGGGTCTAGCGAAAGACACAATGACTGGCAGCAAGTAACAACTACCGACAGAACTTCACTGTTATGAGCAAAGACCCCAGTCTTTCTCTAAAATTGAAGGTACTGCAAGAGGAAGAGAAACAGTTTGCCTTTTACATTCTGCTTCCAAGAGCCTCTTCAAAGCGAAGTGGTGAAGTGGCTGGTGGCTTGAAGGGAGAAGCAAGAAACGGGAAAAGAACAGAGTTTAGATTAAGTATGGAGCTGCCATAGAAACTATCCAGGTCAGCCAGAGAGACAGTATTTATTTTGTACAGCTAATTGGCCAATAAAGATTTTTTTAAAACTGGGCCAAATGCTGAAGAGTCAGTTGTCCAAACAGAGCACTTCTTATACCGGAAAGGGAAGGGAAAAAAAAAAAGTCACCTTTTTCCTACTGGTCCATGCAGAAAACAGGGTTGAAATTCTAGTCAGAATTTAAGTCAATGCGAGATTTGCCACTGATTTTGATGAAGCCAGACACCACCCCAGATATTTTGTTTTCTATTTTCAGACAGATACATTTAACTACCACCAATCAGCTATCCTCTAGTAGTGTTTTTTTTAAGTGTTTTCCAGCTTCCATGCCTATGTCTATATTAGGGAATTTCTGCTAAAATTTCTCAGCATTGCTACTGCTTGTCCAGGACCAACCTAAGGTTATATCAGTGCTAGTCTCTCTAGCTGTTTATATCTGCCCGTGTATAAAACACTGTGCACATGTAACTGAGCACAGTGCTAGCCAGTATTACTTACTTGTTGTTTCAGAGTAGCATCTGTACCTAGGTTCGTTAACTTCAACTTTTAGTAAGCTTAAATGACTGTTAAACCACTCAGAGCTCTTACCTCTGGTTGAGCTCAAACAATATTGGTCTTACAGATCTGTCTGTGCTAATGACATAAGACATGGATTGAATTGTTTGGGGTAGATTGTTACAGACATTTTCTTTCTCTGTATGATACATGAACTGTACAAATGTACTGGAATAAAGGAGTATTTAAAGCCATGATTGTTGTTTTCACATTAATTACAAAATTACTACCTTGGATAAAGAATTTTCTGCATCTTTTGCTCCAATAAGATTTGCCCCAGTGTTCCAGAATTTCCTCTCAGCTCTCCCAGTTTTGAGTGACATGAATTGTTCTAATTCCTCTCAAGGGATCATTAACTTTAAAACCTAATGAATACTATTTAAATGTCAGCTTTGTTATATAGTTAATCATTAATCTTAGCAGAAGCAGTCAATTATTTTGTTCATCTGTCACAGTTTCAAACAGATACAAATATTTGTCTGCAGGGCCATTTTGCTACTTATTACTGCCAAATGGAGAATATCTATATATTCTGCCAAATGAAGAATAAAATATCTCCGCTTACTAGAGAAGAAGAGCAAGTCCAGAGCTCTCCCAAAGCTCAGCCTTCTTTTGTGTCTTCCAGATTGACAAATTCTTCATGGATCTCTTTTACAATGCCCAAATATCTGCAACTCTCTTGACCTCTGTTCACCTTTGACATGGAAGTTCCAAACCCAGGTGTGGTGTATTGATAGTTAGAGATTCCAGAAGATTCAGCATAGAAAAATACCAAGAATTGTGTGCAAAACTCAATAGTCCACAAATAACTGAAGATGTGGTCTATTTATAGATGAAAGGGGGTTTTTCTGTTTTGTTTTCTGTATCTTTCTTTTCTGAAGTTTGGAAATGTTCAAGGATTCAAGTTTTGTCATTGCAGACTGCTGGCTTCTGCAGAGAGTCAATCACCTGCTGGAGATTTCAAAGCCTTGTTCTTGCACAGCATACAGTCATGTATCTGCATTTAAAGGCCTCCACATCAGTGAATTAAAAGATGTTATTGGCACATTGCAGCACATGATCTTCTAGTCCCTGGTGCTTATCTATAGACTGGATATCTCCAAAATGGATTGTCAGCTTGGTGGAATTTGTGCTGTCATGTTCTGCCTTTATAATATGCAATTAGTGATAATCATAGCAACAAACAGCTGATAAAAACAGCCAAATGTTTTGAGAGCAGGCATAAAACATCATAAAAATAAATGGCTTTTCTGCAATGCAGAGGATGCATCTTTAAAATCTATACTAGGCCACCATTATTTGTTGGAGCTGCTAATAACCAAAGATTGTCATAGTATATTTTATAATCTTTAGGGATGAATGACAGCAACAAAAAAAAAACAAACCAGCATAGTGATCAGATGTTTTTCAGGTGCCTTCAATTTGTCCCTGGAACTGTTGAGGTGAAAGGCTTATACTGTAAATGAATGACAACTCAGAAAACTGTGCAATTTTCCAGGGGGAATTAATTTAACTAATGACATTACAGGAATATCCTTTGTGTCACATGTTAAAGGTTATACCATGATAAAGTTGTAAATTTACTGGATTCAGTATTAGGGAGAGTCAACAGCAAGCATGCCAACCTGCACAGCATTTACAGAAGTTAGCCTCAATCTTCAGGCTTTCCATCCTGACTAGCCTGCAAAAACAAGCAGGTTTCTCAAAGAGAGACGGGAAAATGAAACCAGCCCACTTCAGAATTTCATTAAAGAACAGAAACTGTGGTACAAGAGTTTCAAAGACTTCCAAAGCTTCTAGTTTCTACTATTACTTGAAGCTACACTCTGTATCTCTGAAAGTGTGCATTGCTTCTTTAAATAAATAGGAACCACATACAATGTATGAATAGACAAAATCCAAACTCTGGCTATTATACAGATCAACCATTTTTAAAATTCAGGTTCCTTTTTTTTTTCCCCCATGGACATCTGAGTTCAGAATTCTTTGGAGGACCTGGTTGCCTGTGTCAAGGAATTATTTGCGGAGAGACCTCATTTCCCCAAGGAAAGGCAAACCTACATTTCTTCCATGGAACTGACACTGTAAGCCAGCACATCAAGCAACCACAAAGATTTCAGAGACCTGCAGGTCTCGCTGCCTTCTGTACAAATAAGCTTTTGCCTGCACTGGCCGCAAGCACTCCAGTTATTTCTCTGATGGGCTGGTTTGCTCCTGAGGTCTGCTGCCAAGGAGTCCCACTCTCTATGCCCAGCTATTATTTCAGAAGCCCTTCTCATTAAAGGTCCAAATCCATGCTGAAGAAATTTTGTAAGAGGCTTTATGATTTCACAGGCTTTAGAATGTCATTCACGTGTCCCTGATTTAACAAATGCAAGTTCTAGGAAGTTCAGATGCTTATCTCTGTAAATTAAAAAGGCTACAACACTTGTAAGGTTATCACTTCACAAATACTCTTGCAGTGTTCACTGGGCACTCTACTGAAGAGCCAATTTCTTGACCTTGTGTGTCAGACAAATACCAAATTCCCTGATATAAACACTGGAGAACCATCCATTTCTAAAACATTTCACTATATTTAGGGAAAGAGCTTGGATAAATCAGTTCTTACACTGAAATGCTTTTGTGTACATTCTGCCTCTCAAACACTTCAGGACAACTGGTGACATTGCCCACCTCAGTTTGTAAGTAGTCCCACTGTACCTCCCTGTAGGTAACTTGCACAGTACCAAAATCTGTCTCGAAACTTCACTTCCACTTTTATTACCTCAGAAGAATCCCAGACCCTGACCAAAATGTGCTAACATGGAAGAAAATTTAAAGCTTAAAGATGACACATCTATAATGGTATTTAATGTTTCTTCTCATCTGAACCATGCTTTCCTTTTCAGGGATGCTAAACACCAAAAACCTACATTTCTGTGGAGAGGGGGCCTCAGCCTTTCTGAAAGGCAGTTATCCTCGTGCACAGTGATGTGACTGAAGAGCAGAACTGACCTACAGTGGGTTTTTTTGAAACAGAACATGTATTAAAGCAACAAGAAAGAAATATTTAAGCCTCAAAAATGTACTTCAAAATCCTAAACCAATCTTTTTATTATAGCTTTGGGATTTAGAATAAAACAAACATTTAATCTTATGAAACAAGATAGCAAAAATTAAACTGCTTTGCTGTTCAGATTAGTTATATAAGTATATAATTCAATTTATGGATATCAGTAGATGAACATAAGTTAGCAGGGATAGGGATATAGTTTAAGCTATCCTAATGGGACTCTTCAACTTTCCAAAATCCAGCCATATTGATCATGCAATTCAGACTGGATGAAAAGAGGCAATACATGTTTGTGGCCACATTCTACCCCAATCACTCCTGACAGCACTCCCAGCTTATTTAAAACAACATTCAAACTGCACACTGGTTTCCCTTGTGGCTTAATTCTCATTATTCACTGAACTCCTTTTTAACTAGAAACTGACTGAAGAGCCAGATTCTGAGCTCATTGTTTGTTTTTTTTTGCTGACTACAATGAACAGCCTTCTCAGTTTCCAAGCCCAGCATTTCTATACACTCAAACCAGCTGCAACCATCAACTAGCAAAATAAAAGCAGGTCAGGAATGGGGAGGCAGGATGAGTGAAAAGAGTGTGCATGTGCTTTTCAGAAAGAATGAGACTGAAATTAATAAAAGGCTTTCTCATAATAGGTAACAATAAATGCCATCAATGAAGCATGGGAGATGTGTCCCCCAAACATAGAAAAATGTAATAAAAAGTCAATGAATGTGTATTTCTCATCTTGGAATAAATGGATTTAAGTAGTGTTACCACTCCAACTTGAAAAATCGTAATTCTTCACAAGAGAAATAAGAACCATGAGGACTGATGCCAGTAAAAAGGGAGTTTTCAGTAATACGAGGTTCATGCTGTTGATAAAAACAGGGATACTGCCTGACTGCTCCTCCATCTTGGTTTTCCTGATGAATCAAGATAGTTTAACTTGCCAGTGGTTTACTGGAAATTACTGTTTTGAGAACCACAGAGCTCACTGCTCTAAGGCAGAGTGCCCGAGATGATTGCCACCTATGCCCTCTCAGTCCTGGGCTGCTTTGAATCAGAAAGAAAAACAGAAGTCTGATTACCTTGTCAAGGCTTCCTCACGGACTCTGGATCTGTGCCAGCTCTATGTCTTCAATCCTTCCTAGTAAGTTCCTCCTGATTTTACCCTGGTCAAGTGTCCTACACAGTGACTTTGCAACAGGCTCACAGAGACACTCTCACACTGTACTTGTGGCTATGAGTGCAGCTGGTCCACACACCAAACCTACCTGTCATTTAGCTAGCTAATTTAGCCAAGGAATTTTATCATGTAACTTTTGGTTAAGCTGACACAGTGGTTTTCAACCTGTGGGACACTTATGCCTCTAAGTCCATACACTAGTTCTACTGGAAAACCAGTAAGAAAAACAGGTTTCCTGCCAACAGACTCAAATTTGGTCTTAAAGGACTTCAGTGAAAAATTTTTAGAGGACATCAAAATTAGCACAAGCTAGAGCATAGGATTAGTTCTGATTTAGACTTCAAATGGCCGGAAATATACTGTATGCCTTGAGTAATGGCTCCAATAATTAATTAAATTAATTAATTAGAAAAACATGAACCTTCAGTCTAGCCGGAACACTTGAATATTATTCTGAATTCATCTGGTCAATTAAAGAGCCCTTCACAATCAGAATTTTTTTCATATGAGAGAGTTATCTTTTAACATTTCCTTGGCAAACATGATGGAGTTTTCTTTGGTTTGCCATCTCATGTAAGGTTTCCCACTCAAACCATTCTGATAAAGTTTTTCTGGCATCCTTTGGAGATCAGAAAATCCCCCTGTTCTGGGTAATCACATACAGATATAACCCCTGCTTTTAAGGGGCCAACAGTTTTAGACCCTTACCCAAAAAATGGTCCCTGATCAACTGCACTACTTTGAAATCACCTACTTAGGGGTTTAGTCAGGAACTACTCCATATGCAAAGAAGCCCCATGAAAACCAGTTATGAAGAACTGTTGACAGCCTTGGCTTATTGTGTTTCTGATTTCTTATGTTTCTGACTGAGGAAATGCCATATGGAACGTTTTCATTACATATTACCACCTTCACCCACTTCTTAGAATGGTTGCTTAGGGTTGGAAAGACCTGAAGACAATCTAGTTCCAATCCCCCTTCCATGGGCAGGGACACCTCACACTAGACCACGCCGCCCAAGGCTCTGTCCAACCTGGCCTTGAACACTGCCAGTGTTGGAGCATTTACTACTTCTTTGAGCAGCCTGTTCCAGTGCCTCACCACCCCTACAGTAAAGAACTTCCTCCTTATATCTAACCTGAATTTCCCCTGTTTAAGTCTGGACTCATTACCCCTTGTCCTATTGCTACAGTCCCTCTCAGGTATCCTTGTAGGCCCCCTTCAGATATTGGAAGGCTGCTGTGAGGTCTCCATGCAGCCCACTCCACCCCTAAATTTACAGGTGCATGTTTCTTATGCTAGCAATACACAACTAAATGGCCAGTAATGGCCACCGTCTCATGTATTTATTTTTCAATAGAGTCTGTTTTACTTTTGTGTCTTCCTTTCCTTTTTAAATAAGAAGACAACCAAGTGTTATTTACTGCAATGTCAGTGTCAAGAAACTAACAGCTTGATCCAGCTCCCATCAAAATTAATGGAAAAACTCACACTCTTTCAGGGGATGTTTGTCTAGACTCACGATGGACAGGTTCATGTTTATGCTCTGGAGCCATCTTATTCCCAGGTGTCTTACAGTCTGAGAGGTGTAATCACATCTGCACACCACTGCCCCTGACCCAATAAATCCAGCTCGTTTTGAAAGCCAGATCCAATGCCCAGGCCACAAGTGAAGCCATCCTTAGGAACAGAATACCTTTTTTCTGGATTAGCCACTTGGCTACATTGTGTATATCGCATTTCCATCTTTCTTGTCATACTAAAGTGAACATTCTTTATTGCTTATGTTGGGACGTATACATACACAGCGTAA